CACACACACACAGAGCATTATGCAAGGATTTGAAGCATATGGGTTGAATCATTATACTCAGTAAGGTCAGCATGATTGCAGCAGAAGGGTATAGCCAGCTTTAATGCAATCTCCTTGACACCAGTTCAAGTCCATCACGCGTCGTACCCCTGCAAATAATTCCCTTGTAAAGTATTTGTCAGAAGTGAAATGAGTTGGGAGTCAAAGCCCCACAGCTCTGCTGAATATATGACTAGCATACTCTGAGCTGGTGACTGGCAATTGCCATCCAAGAATGTCACTTTTAAAGTTGTCCTTGGAAAGGGATGTCACCCTCAATCAAAGCTTCAGCTCAGTGACAGGAAAATTAGGATGGCGCCTGCAAGAGACTCAACTCGACCCAACAGGGACGCTGAATGTTTTCAAATAAGATCATATGGGGAGTTAAATTCACTCTGTCCCAGAAGTGATATTGGTTGCAATCACCCTGTGCAAAGACTCCACACATATTTTTTTAAAAAAAACCCCACAACATTTATTTCCAATTGACTAGTTTGCAAATAGGCAATCCTTGACTATACAGCAAGACTGTCCATCAATCAAAGAATTTAGCTGGTCAATTGCATTTAAATACATCTGTATAGTAATGAAAGATCCCTACAGGTGCCTCTTCCAGATGATGAAAGAAGGGAAAGAGCATAAAAGTTGATAAACAAAAGCTAGCTCTCATCATATGATGGAAAGCTCTCTTTTTAAAAAATAAAAATCCCAGTTGAGATAACATATCAGAACCCAAACTAAGTAAACAAACATGCCCTTAATTCTCAGGCCCACTGATTAAAAAATATTCCCTACTGACTAACTCAACAGAGGGGGGGAAATTAATTGGCTTAATCTAGCTATTAAACTTCACAATCATCAAGCCGAACATTTTGATTGAGGGTGACATGCCTTGCATGGTCATATTTAAAAGTGGCATTCTTGGTTGGTGAGTATGCTCAGAGTATGCTAGTCATATATTTCTTGTTTTGACTTCCAACTCATGTCAGTTCTGACAAGGGTCTCTTCACAGGACTGGGAACCTAGGAAACTGCCAGCTGCCTACACTCGCTGGTAACAACTCATCATGTTTTCCCGTTTCAGGCAGAGTTCTTTCCCTGCCTTATTTCAAGATGCTGTGGATCAAACCTGGGACCTTCTGCAGGCAAACCACCTGTCCTACCACTAAATCGAGGTTCTCCTCATGACTATCTGGATGCAAACTAGGTGCAGGGGGGAAGGCCCAGGCCCAGTGGCCTTCTGCATTCACTGGATCCAGCTTCCAGTGCACACCGAGGAAACTTGTGACCAGAGAGATGCTATCCTGTGCTCTACTGTCCAGCTCTGGCCCAAGAAGAGGGCTAAAAATAAGTAAGTTAGGGTGTTTTGTTCCACCAGTAGACCAGATCATAGGAGCACAGGAAGCTGCCTTATACTGGTCCATTTAGTTCAGAATTGTCTACAGGGACTGGTTGTAGTTCTGCAGATGCAGGCACCAACTGTAGATGCCAGGGATTGAACCTGGGACCTTCTGCAGGCAAGAAAGACGCTCTGTCACTGAGCTGCAGCCCTTCAGCCCCAAAGAAAAGGTCACATAACATTCCATGACATTTATAGAAGCTTCTGAGCAAGTGTGCTTCTTGCCCTGGGCAACAGGGAGATCTGCTTTTGCCCCAGACACTCTGGGTAGCTTCTAGCATATACAAAAACAGAATAATGTATTAAACATTAAAAATTTTCCTATACATAAACTGCAATTGCCTAGCCTGCATTTCCATAAGAGTCATAAGGCACAAAGCTTGATTTCAACCTTAGCTTAATTTCCAGAAGTTAAGGTTCATCAGACCTTGGCAGAGGTCGAGACTTCCGGGGTGGCGCCATCGGTAATGGTGGATTCCTTCTGATCCAGAGGGACTGGCTCCACGGAAAACGGGTCTTTCCCGCTACGGCGAAGCGGGGACCCTTTGAAAAATCACAGGTGGATGAAGCCTGTGACCATGGGACTCGGCGGGCACCTTTCGCGCCCCCCCCAACTCGTAAAGGAACCCAGTTACGGGCTCCGGAGCGAAGAGGGGCAAGTGGCGCGGTGCTGAGAGTCAACTGCTTCTTCCGTGGAGCGAAGCCGCACAGCCGTTGCCGGAGAGTGCTGCCTTTTTCCTGGGACAATTTGGCTATTAAAACAACTACCCGTGAGTAGCTTAATTTCGGACAATTGGACTTTAAACAACGACCTGCGAGTAGAAAGGAAAATTGGATTAAGAAATTCTTCTCAATTTGGCACTGAAACGGGAAGGTCTAAACAGGAAGTCAGCCTTCCGTTTCTTGTAGATAGATTAAAGCAAAGACATGGCAAACTAGAGTTCAGAAAATCGTTTGTAAAGGATTAATGTTCATCATCTAAAATTGTTGAACCCCCTTCGGAAGCAGGAGAAGAGGGGGGATTTTTTCCGGACTGTTTAAACCTGCAGAAGAGAGTGTAAAGAAAAGTAATTTTCCACCGTCTTCAACCTGGGAGCGGGGTGTCAGGACTGACGTTTTTGGGAAGTTCATTGACCATAGACAAACGTCTTTGACAGACAGTTAAAAGAAGAGAAACACAGTGATTCCATTGTTCTCCTTCACATTTTAAAGGAACAAATATTGACAAAATATCTGAAAAAGGAAACTTTGTTGTTAGATCTGCCTTTAAAAGAAAAGAAAAAAAAGAAAAGAGATGGATACAAATAGAAGTTCTTCCCCTAGAGGGAGCCTGTGAAACTGTTACTAAATCTGAACTGGGGAGCTCTGCAGCTGCAACAGATTAAGATCATGGGAACAGACTTCTGACCTTGCATAACAATGTATTCAGAAGCTCTGGTGCGTACTTTCTGCAAAACAAGTGCCCTATTGGAACAGTTACATGAGAAGACGGACTTGATGACTGTTGCGATCAGAAATTTTGGACAGGTAGTGGGTAACTATATAGAACCCACCCAGGAATCAAATTAGGAGTGTGCTCTGACAGATCAGATGAGGGAAGAGGATGTTGCTGGACCTCGGGTGGCAGAGATGGAGGGAGCTGCGGCCCAGCAGGAACATGAGTTGTTGGATCTGACAAATGAACTTGGAAAAAGCCAGATTTGGAGAGATAGAGTTTTGTTTGGTTTGGAAATGGGGGGTTGGATAGACCCCCCTATGCAGGGATGTTTTGACTTTTCAAGTCTGGCAATGGGCCGTGAGATGTTTGGGGTTGTGGGGGCTCTTAATTCTGGAGGGACTTTGAAACATGTTTTTAAATACCACATGGAGTTTAGTGTGGACTATGGAAAGGGGGCTGATTTGTCGAGAAGGGACAAAAACACTGTCAAGTTGGAGTTTCCACGAGTGAAAGGAGCAGGAGACAAAGTAAAGTACAGGTATAAATATGAAGAAGAGCTGCGGAAGGGACATGGAAGAGACTTAAGGGCCTCGGACATAAGATTACCAGGTTAATGAGCTAAATTGATGGGATAGAAAGGACTGACAAAACCCGGGACCAGGAGGAAGAGACGTTGGATGAAGATTGGAAGAAAGTTTTTTTAAAAAATTATTAGGATTGTTTTATAAAATTGATGAATGTTAGAAAAATGTTGGAATGAAATTATTTGGCTTTAGCAGAAATGTTAAAAGAATTATGTAAGAATATGTTATGGTTATGAGAAATTGGTATAAATAAGATCTATGTTTTAAGTTTTAGGGTCTTTTATAGTAAGATAAGGTTAAAATAGATTAAGGTAATTTAATGACAGAATACTAGGAAAAATGGAAAGGATTTGCTGTGATAATTAACAACTAGAATACAAAAAAGGGAGGAGTGAGGAGGTCGATGAAATAAGGTAATGACAGTTAAGGATTTGGGAATATTGGATTTGTTTTTAAATTTTTGTGGTTTATCTTTGCTTTTTGATTGTGTTGTGTTACGTGTTTTGTTGTTATTTTTTTATTTTGATTTTTATCAATTTGTATTGTTTGATTGTGGTTTGTTTTTCTTTTGTTTTTTTCTTCCTTTTTCTTTTTGTCTTTCCTGTAATTTCAAAATTCTTAATAAATATCATTAAAAAAAAAAAAGACCTTGGCAGAGGTCAGGGCCCAGGAAAGACAGGCTGTCCATCCAAGTGGGTCAGAAGCAGGTGTCCTATGTAAAGCAGCCCAAGGTCTAGGCATCAATCCTTGATACCAAGGAAGCAATCAGAGGGACTAGAAGCAACAGCTGCACTTGAATGATCACATCTCTGCTTAGTAAGTCAAGATATGAATGAGCTTCATGCATCTGCATACAGCCACTTCTTCCTTTGTGTGTGCTGCAAACCACCCAGGAAGCCACAGCTGATAGCTTCTTGTCACATCTGAACCAGGAAATGACAACTTGTGAATAAGCTAGGATATAAAGCATAGCTGTCAACTTTTCCCTTTTCTTGCGAGGAATCCTATTCAGAATAAGGGAATTTCCCTTTTAAAAAAGGGAAACATTGACGGCTATGATATAAAGTTGACCTAACATCTTTGCCTTTCTGTCTTATTTTGCCATAGTTTCCAGGTGTAATGGGGAGGCATAGTTTACTGGAGCTACTTGGCTTGTTTCCCCATTTACACCAGGTGAGGAGCAAACTAGCTGGGTGCAGATGCAGGAGGCTCATTCATATCTTGGCTGAAAAAGCTGAGATGTGATGGTTCTAAAGCGACCATTCAGTGTACTCGCACCAGAATCAACTTACCCAGAGAAGCAAGCTCCAAAAGCTGGGCTTTATAGGGCCTGAAGTCAGCAAAAAATGGTCCTCAATAGCTGGCTGACAATTACACAGGTAGGCTAGTACTCCAGTGCAGGGAGCTGCCCTCAAAGGACAAAACTCTGCGAGTGAATCAGGGCACTAATTGTGCAAGATGTCAGAGTCTGACTGCAAGGGCCCTCACTGCAGTGAAGGGGAACTGCTGGCCAGTGGCATCAATGGGTCCATCTTGCAAGCTTCCCTGCTCACATCAGGGAAGAGCATGAGGCTCTTAATCTCAGGGCCATGGGTTCGAGCCTCATGTTGGGTAGAAAGATCCCTACATTACACAGGGTTGGACTAGAGGACGTTCAGGACCCTCTTCCAACTCTACAATTCTATGATGGTTCTATGATTGCTGCATCGCTGTGCTCATGGCGGGGGTTATCTAACAGGGAAATGGGGAAAGAGAAATAAGGGGAGAAGTAACATGAAAGAGAAAAGTAGGGAAGAGAGGGAGTAAGGGGGGATGATACAAGAGGAAAGTGGGAGAGAAGGGGATAAAGAATGCTCTCTCCAAGGAAGTTCCTTTTTAACCAGGCCTTTGGTTGACCTGATCAACATCCCATACCCTTTTAAAATGTGGTTCTTTTGGTGGGGCGGTATTATTGGGTTATTACTTTTATTTTTATTTTATATACTGTGATCCTTTTATGTGAACTGCGTTGAGACCGCCGGGTATAGGGCGGTATATAAATTCAATGAAGGAGAAGAAGAGAAGGGGGGGGGGAGAAACTGGTAAGCAAAGTTTGTGAGAAAAAGAGAACAGCTTAAAGAAAATGGGTGGTGCACTGTCAGCTCAGGTCTCATCTACAGCCCCAACCCACCCTCCTATGCATCCCTGAGAGATTCCCCCTGAAGGAATGCAGATCTGCATTTTGGGGGACCTGAAGCTTGAACTATTCTGGGGGCCCCTTCGCAACCAGCAACAAGATCTGGGTAATCACTGTTGCCTTCTTCTGGGGTTGTTCCACAAGAGATCACCACATTTTATTTTTTAATAACTATTATACCTCCGATTGGGACGCAGGTGGCGCTGTGGGTTAAACCACAGAGCCTAGGACTTGCTGATCAGAAGGTCGGTGGTTCAAATCCCTGCGACGGGGTGAGCTCCCATTGGTCGGTCACTGCTTCTGCCAACCTAGCAGTTCAAAAGCACTTCAAAGTGCAAGTAGATAAATAGGTACCGCTCTGTCGGGAAGGTAAACGGCGTTTCCGTGTGCTGCTCTGGTTCGCCAGAAGCAGTTTAGTCATGCTGGCCACATAACCCGGAAGCTGTACGCCGGCTCCCTCAGCCAATAAAGCAAGATGAGCGCCGCAACCCCAGATTCGGTCATGACTGGACCTAATGGTCAGGGGTCCCTTTACCTTTACCTTTATACCTCTGATTTTGATCAAAATTGCTGTACTGGATTATCTCACATGTCAAAGTCACTGGTGTGAATAAATATTTCCTATGCCCTATATTTTCCAAGTTATGAAGGGGAGTGAAAATTAGCGAAATGTTATACAGTGGTACCTCTGGTTATGAACTTAATCCGTTCCGGAGGTCTGTTCATAACCCGAGGCACGCTTTTGCTAATGGCGCCTTCCGCTGCTGCCGCACCGCCGGGGCGCGACTTCCGCTCGCATCCCAGAGCAAAGTTCGCAACAAGGGACATCTACTTCTGGGTTAGCGGAGCTTGTAACCCGCAGTGTTCACAAGGAGGACGGTACATAACACGAGGTTCCACTGTATACATGCATGAATAAATTCACTTCTGGGCCCCTCTGTGATTAAGAGTCCTGAAGCTTTATTAGTTTCCTAGTAGATCTGCCTCTGAGCCCTTATAATAAAAAAGTATCCCACCCACTCCCTTACAAAGTCAGACAAGTCAAGGTTGGCTTACAAGATTGGCAAAAGGAAAAAAAGAAAAGAAAAAGAAAAAAAGTCCCACTTTCGCACCTACAATGATCAAGCTTAATATGAGAATGTAACAGGCAATAAACATGGAATTAACACTAAGAGACTAGAATTGAATCCTACTTAACACAATTAATTTGAATCTAAATGTGCACCAGAAATAAAAAAGCACAAATCTACATATAAAAAGGGACAAACTCCAATATAATCTAATCAAGTAATAAAAGGAGCTATTTTCCACTTTCTCTTTAATTTGCAGATATTTCCAGTTCACTCACTCCTATAATTTATTTTCTTGTGCATTAGGGAACTAACTAATTTTTTTTTTTAAATGAAATATAGAAACACATTTTCCATAAAATTGCATATAACCTTCTGCTAGGTGTAAAACTAACTTGACAAAGCAATAAACAAAACAGAAAAAGTAGCTATTAAATCCCAATGGTAAAATATTTCCCTTATCACATTTTTTCTTTCTTTTTTTTCTTTTGCAAATCGCTCAGCTAGCTTGCTGGTTTCAGGTTCCTGCTTAATTAAAAATGTGGCCTTGTTTAAGTAACACTCTCATAATTTGTGTATCAAACTTTTGACACAAAACCATTAAAATTCATAAATATTGCTGTCCAGTGGAAATGAAATTAGGTCTGTCTTCCCACTTAGGTGTACCTTGTCAACATTAAGAGAAGCCCATCTATTGCCATTAGCTTCAATTTACATAAATAAATATGCCTGCTTTGTGGTAAATTAAAAAACAATGGAGTTTTGGCACAGATTCCCAAGTCTCTAAGCTGCCCATTTGCTACCAAGCCTAATTTGGGGTGTTGCTACTGACATCTAAAGCCTTACACAACTTGGGGCCCTCTTAATTCATCAACTGTCTTCTCCCCTATAGTCCAGTCCATCCACTGAGATCTGCAAATAAGGTTGTTCCAGCACCTGTGCAGGTACATCTTCTAATGACCAGGGGGCAGTCCTGTTCTGTCCGGCCTCCAGAGCCACCTCCCGCTAAGGTACAATGGGCTCCATCTGTGACGATGTTCTGGTGCATGCAAAAAACCTAGCTGTTCACCTGAGCATTTTTCACAGCCAAGATTTAAGTGATGACTTAGAAACACAGGGAGCTGCCCTATACTGAGACTATTGACCCATCTAGCTCAGTATGTACACACTGATTGGCAGTGGCTGTGCAGGATTTTAGGCAGGAGTCTCTCCCAAGACATGCGTGAAGATGCTGGAGATTGAACCTAACCTGAGATGCTACAGAAGGATAGGTACTTGGATGAATGAGTTTCCTACTGGTATATCAGATGAACGGTTTACCAGCTCTGTAAGAATTGTGGAGTTAGGATTGCAGAAGCACCTTGCTAGGCTGAAATCATTCCTGTTCTCCTCTCCACTTAAACAAACCAAACCAAAAATCATCCAGGTAATTGCAGCTGAGACAGCTTCTTCGCTTCATTCATTCCAGCATACTCCCCAGGAAACAAAAGTTAGCAGATGTCTTATCAATAAGCACCAGCCATTTCTTCATCTATAGCACTCTTCGAGAGCCTAAAGACATGGAGAATTAATCTCTTGCATTTGCCAGATGTCATAGGAGCAGGAGCTGCTTCTTGATCCACTTGTCTCCTTCCCTGCCTTGGGTTATATTCAGCACACTTAGTATTAGCTCAATGGCTTTTTATGTTGATTATCATCCTGTTGTCATAAATAAGAGGCTGGCGTGCATAAGAGATGCAATTAAGGGCAAACAACATCAGATGCTGTGGGAGGAAAGGTCTCGTTGAATACCACTTCAGCTTTGAAAATGCCCTTTGCATTGATAAAATCTGTAGCGCTTCACAACCGTTACTCACCAACAGGCGAATGCTCACATGGCTTTAGAAACTTATTGCGCCAGGATCTTCAGAGTGCAGTGGTGGTCGGGGATGTTTTTCACCAGTTCTAGATGGGGAAATAGCTGTTAAAAAAAAGTTCTATGAACAAATTACATTATGTATAAAATGTAGGTAAGTACCATAGAAGCATGTGAAAGGGTAATGGGGTCATAACAAAAGAGATCTCTCATGGAAAACTACCGGCAGAGCAGACACCAACAGGACACTTTTGAAGGAAGAGTGAGGGGAAGCCCTGTGGCTCAGTGGTAGAACATCTGCCTTGCATGCAGAAGGTCACAGGTTCAATCCCCAGCACCTCCAGGAAGGCTAGAAATGAAATCACTCCAGTCAGTGTAGACAATACTGAGTTAAATAGACCACTTGTCTGACTCAGCATAAGGCAACTAGGAGAGAGCCCTACCCAAAAGCCTGGAGAGCCATTGCCTTTCAAGGTAGACAATACTGAGCAAGATGGACCAATGGTCTGATTCAATATGAAACAGCTTCCTGTGAATCTGGTGAACCTAATGGAAATGGACACGACTTACTTGGGCTGAAGAAGACAGGTGCTTTGGTGCCAGAGGATATTCAAGGTGATCGCTCTCATTGCTAAGTCCAATTGCATCTTTGCTCTGAGTCACTGTGAAACCTGGCATTTTCACAGGTTTCAAATACTTATGACAAACATATTAATAGCTGGCAACCAGTGGCAGGCAGAGCCAACTGTGAATGCAGCCACCGTTCCTCTGAGTCAAAAAGCGGATGAAATGACACAGCAAAGTAAGGTATATATCAGGTTTGTGGGCTGTGCAGACATGAACTGAGGTAGCAGCAGGGCTGGCCCAAGACATTTTTGCACCTGAGGTGAAACACAAAATTGCATCGCCTTTCCCTGCCAGGAAAGAAGGGGTGAGTGAATATCTACATTATGAACAATGGGGGAATAAAGATCAGGAACAAGAGTAGGAGTAGACCGTGGGAGGAAAAATATGAATCCCTGTGACCCATGTGTGTGGGGTGAATAACAAAATAATTGGCTGCGTGCCTGGATTCAAAATGCAGGGCTAAGCAGACTCTCCCACAGGAGAGAGTCCTCAGTAGCAGAGTTTAACCTCACAAAGTCAAGCAGCACAGTGAAGCCTTAGGAATGTAGGCTGTTAAACCTTTTGTCCCATTTAGCCTCTTTGCAAAGTGCTCCCCTCTTTCTACCCTTCTTGCAATGAAAAGACCACACACTTTTTAAATATTTTACTTACAAAATGTTCCAAAGGTCAGGTTCATGCATTTATCCAAGCAGTAGCAAGGAGAACACCGGCAGAATGCTCTTGGGCAGAAAATACAGGAAGACAGCTTCAAACACATGTTCTAAGCTCGGAACTTGCTTTAGGCATGTATTCCTTGGTCAGTTAAATGGTGTAGAGGGAGTGAGAACAGGAAGAGAAGGCTTTACTTCCTCTCATTGGAAAAGACAGGGCATGACCTAGCTGAGTCTAGGACTCCAGCTCTATTGTCTTAACCCCTTCATGCACTAACTGGCAATCATACATAGTTTCCCACAGAGGCCAGGAGCACCTCCTATTTCTTTTGACAGCAACAAAATTGACTATAGTTGAATTTTGGAGATCCTTAGAAGCAGATGTGACAAAGGACTGGCATGAACAAACCTGGCAACTTGCTCTCATGGATAAATTGGCTCGGCGATTAAGAGACAGGAGGACTCAGCACACATCCGAATTTTGTCCCTAATTTTTTTGTACAATATTCTGCTCCTCTTGTACATGAATGCCATTCTCCATTGGTACATAATTATCCTGGAAAAACTCTTCCATTTGACTGACTGTAACTTGGAACACACTACAGAAGTATTGCTTTCCCCTGTATCCTTTGTTGCTGCTATTTTTCCTGTCCTATTGCTGTATGAAATATAAAACAATATGAAGTTATTTTTTTTTTTTTTTAAAAAGACAGATTCACCCATCTCTGCCTTGGAGAAACTGTTGCAGAATTTCTCCTCTCTCTCCCGCCCCTACCTCATTTCCATGCCCAAAAATACTGTGGGAAATTTAAAGAGGCCATTTCAGAACAACCCTAAAGAAAAAAGGATAGCAGCTGCTTGATGAAAAGCAGAAGCCTGTCCTTACAGATGACCTCCACAAGTTTTAAAAATATGAGGATCTTATTAAGGACAGAAAACAAAACACTACATACAAAAGAAACCCTGGGTTTTTCTAATTTGTTATTGATCTTCTGAAACAGTTCAAAGAGAGTTTTAAAAGACTCATAAATACTGAGATCAAAAACTGCCTTAAACACAAATATTTCATAAAGTTTTTCCAAAAGGAAGACACAATTGCTTTTTTAAAAAAGTCTTCCCTAACCCACAAACCTTAAAAAGTTGGATCATGTTGTGACTTCTTCCCAAAATTGTTATGATCAGTCACTTTAGACTTTCAGGCAGAGCCACATAATTTTTCTAGTCATTTTTGTGCAGTGATGCACTCTTCTTTCCAGCTTTTAGCATATGCCATTCTTACAGTTGGGCTGCAGTCCAGGCCCAGTTGGTGCAATTCAATGCACTCATGTTGCTGCCTCCATCCACCTTGGGTATTAAGATAGGCAGAGGTAGCTCCACCACACTTAGACATTTGGGGGTGGAAGCCTGGGAGAGGGCATTCGCTGTGACATGCAGCAAATTATGGAATTCCCTCCCCATAGATGTGTATCTGGCACTTTCTTTTTTTCTCAGATGCTAAACATACATTTTCACACTGGCTTTTGACAGCTTAGATATGTGTCTAGTAGATTTGAGCAAAGCCCAGATCCCTCATCAAATTGGGAAGATTCAGACAGATTTGAGCTTTGGCCAAATTGGGCTGAGACAACTCCAGATTGCCCCAAGGCAGGCCTGCCCACTCAAAGCAATGCAGGGCCAAAATGCAGGGCTGCTTTTGAGGCGGGACACAGGGGAGAGGAGAGGCAGGCAAGCAGGCAGACTCTGCAAAGAGCAACACAGGGCTGTTGAAAGAGGGCTTTCAAACTGCTCCTCACTACATTGTGGCTATGCATGCTTGTTCCCAAAAGGGGAGCAATCCATAGTTAAATGTAAGGTAAGGTAAAGGTAAAGGGACCCCTGACCATTAGGTCCAGTCGTGACCGACTCTGGGGTTGCGGCGCTCCTCTCGCTTTATTGGCCGAGGGAGCTGGCATACAGCTTCTGGGTCATGTGGCCAGCATGACTAAGCCGCTTCTGGCGAACCAGAGCAGTGCACAGAAACGCTGTTTACCTTCCCGCCGGAGCAGTACCTATTAATCTATTTGCACTTTGACATGCTTTCAAGCTGCTAGGTTGGCAGGAGCAGGGACCAAGCAATGGGAGCTCAACCCGTCGCGGGGATTCAAACCGCCAACTTTCTGATTGGCAAGTCCTAGGCTCTGTGGTTTAACCCACAGCGCCACCCGCGTCCCATAGTTAAAAGTAGAAGTCGGCAAATGTGTCCTCCTTTTTGCTCTTCAAAATATGGCAACCCTAGTTTGTGTGATAGCTGTGCTTCTGGAGCTAGTCCTTTGAGCCCTTCCCCTTGATGTTCCTTGTCCTTGTTTCCATTGCTCAACAAAGAGGGACAACCACTGTTGGGACAGACAGCTACTTTTGTCTGTCACAATCATCTGGCATCCTGTTCTGTTGCATGGAAGTTCCATTAATCTGCCACACCAAGAAGCCATTGATAAACCTATTAAAGCTAACCGCTATTTATTTACAGTTGGAAATTCCACAATTTAACCATGCATTGTATGAAGTATTGCCTACACCCTCATATCATGAGTGGGAAGTGGTAGGTGCCCACTGATCACAAGATTTCTCTGTTTTTTCCCTCCTTCTTCCCCCCACATTGAATGTTTTATTATAGTCAAGGAGGATCCAGAAAGAACTGGATTTTCCTTGTGCAATTTAAGTTATTTCTCCCATGTTGCCTTGACATTCCAGCATGCGATGATGCATCTCATTAGGACGTAGGTGGGATTTTCTCACTAAGAAGCTACATGGGATTTGGAGTGGGTGGGCAAAAAGAGTGCCGAATCTAAGAAAAGGTTAATAAGACTATATAATATCCTCTCACTTTAGGGGGCTGGAGGCAGATTGGAAGAGTGGGAAGTGGGGGCAATCTGAAGCAAACGCTGAAGAAATAAGAGTCAAGCTGCTATGGAAACGAAGGAGATGGAGGGGGGAGCTGAATCTTTCTAGAGTAACGGCCACTGCAAGACTTTTAGGAGCAGGAGATGATCTGAAAACATTTTTGTTTTTTAATCCCTGGGCAACTTTTTCAAACTTTAATGATCTTGATGAAAGATGGGGATGAAAATAGCTGTGCAAGTGGGTAGGTGGCATGGCACTGTCTCTCGCTGGAGAACAAGGGAGGAAACCTGGCCACCTGAAACAGGATAGCTAGCATAGATAGAATGGAGGTTTCTAGAAAGGTCTTTTTTCCCTTGGGCACTCTTTAATTAGCTGCAGTCACACAAACAGAGCAATCCAAACCCTTGTTGCATCAGATGGAGGGGTGGAGTTGAGGGGAGATCTTTCTCTGCTGGTGCAGCATTCCCACTGCCAAAAGTGTGTCAAAGCTCCTGCTTCAGAGCAGAGCAGAGGAAGGGGCAGGACTGAGCTGAGCTCCCCATCCTTGACCTGAAAGACTTTAATTCTGCAGAAAAGACCACAATAATAATATTAACTCCCCTGCTCCTGCAATGTGGGGTTGAGTCACAATGATGAAGCTGTCTCGGAACCTAAATCATCAGCAACTCCAAGAAGACCCCAAGGCCTGAGTGAAGAGGTACATCTTCAGTACCTGATGGAACCAGAGGATAGATGGTTATTGTCGGATCTCTGGAGGCAGCACGACAACTGAGGAACCCTCAAAAACATCACCTCTCATGCCGTTAGTGCCAGTGTTGCCCCTGTAGAAGTCAGCAGGTAGAAGGATGGGGACAAACCTAGAATGAGTTGGCTCCATCTATCACTAGCTCTGGCTCCACCTACTGCTAGTCTCCCCGCTGTCCAATGGATACCAGCCACCACTGTGTCCCTCATCCGGCTTCCAAAAGTTCTAAAGGCATTGAACATACAATTTCAAGCTTAAACAAAAATAGATTTTATCAGGATCTTCAGTTGGGGGCCCGACAGCAAATTCCACGCAAGCACAGTTTTTGAAAGGGTGCATGGAATATGACTGGGTTTGTGAGACTGACTCCCAGCTTAAAGCCTGCATTTCCTTATTGACAACCTTCTAGTGGCCAGTTAGCAGGACCAGGGAAAATGTTGATAGGCCCAGAAGAAACTGGGCATGGCACAATGGCTGGGACACCTTCATATAGTAGGTTATGTTCCAACTACACAAAACCCAGAGGTTTCCACACACAAACACACACATACATACCACACACCTCTCCATCTGAGCAAGGAAGAAGCATTATCACAATTCAAGGACAACTTCCAGGCAAGTAAAAACACTTGAGGAAGACCAGTGAAGGGTGTGGCCCTGAGGCAAGTGTATGTGCCCCAAGGAGAGTCTCAAGGGGAGGGTAGAGAGGCCTGGGGGAGGGGGCACATGTGGCCAACAGGATATCCACCCTGTGATCTTTGGATGAAGGACAGGATAGCTCAGTCAGTAGGGTATTGGACTCTTAATCTCAAGGTCATGGATTTGAGCCCCACATTTGGCAAAAGATTCCTGCATTGCAGGGGGTAGGGATAGATGATCCCTAGGATCCCTTACATTTTGATGAGTCTAATTAATAAATAAAATAATGATAAAATGGCCCCCACCTAGAATACACCTAGACCCCACTATCTATATGGGCCAGACTTTGCCCTCTGGTAGGTTTCACCCATGAGTTTTTTGTGCCCTATATTCAACAATGCATAAAATCAGATCTGCTTAGTAAAATGTGCATTTATTCTGTGTCTTCTTCGTTGTTAACTAACCTAATCTTCCATTTTAAAACCAAAGGTGGTCTGGTGGCAAAAATAAAGGCAGGAAAAAAACCTGGCATGTGATGAGTTGATCCTTTTGAAAATGTTTTCCGCACAAGACATTTCTCACCATATGCTTTACAAGTTGTTTGCTAGCAATGTGGTGGATGCTAATAATATATCCAGTACAAATTCTGCTGGTTTATTTTTATGATTCAAGCAACATTTGGTTTATCCATTTGAAGACAGAGAATTTACACACACACAAAGCCTATTACTGAACTGTAGAATCTACAGGATCTGAACTGTAATAGGATGGGGTCTTTAGGAGTCATCTCATTCACTTTCAACAGACAATATCTCCAGGACTCATATTCTGGCCTTTTTTTGATTCAGCCAAAGGGCCAAGGTACATTGGTTTTAAGCTAACATTAATTTTCTTTAAGGTTGAAATGAATGGATTTCCTCTATGCAGCTACAGGTGAACTTTCCAAAAAGGAAGGATAAGCCTGTTGCACCAGGCTATGCTTGTTCCAATAGCATTCAGGAAATTGGAAGATGGGCATCATCAGTGACCCGAATGTTCAAAACAAACACTCATAGCCTCTCCTGCATCTGGCAGTTAATTTCCTAATATCCTAGTCAAAACTAACTAAATAAATATTAGGACATATTTGCACTAAGATGCTGGTGGATTTTTGTGACTTTTAAAATAATAATAATAATAATAATAATAATAATAATATGATGCAATTGCTGCAGAAATGTGGAGAACTGAATTTAAGACTGGAGAAGCAAGAAGCTAAAATTTGCTCATTTCTAGCATCTTCGTCCTGCAGTAGCATCTTCACGCCCCTCATTTCCAGCTCCAAGGGCCTTCTAGCCTTCTCCCACTGTGAGAAGTGAAGTTACAGGGAACCACTCTGTGGAACGCCCTCTGAGCAGAGGTCAAGGAGATAAATGACTATATGACTTTTAGAAGACATCTGAAGGCAGCCCTGTACATGGAAGTTTTTAATGGTTGCTTTTTTAATTGTGTTTTTAATATTTTGTTGAGAGCCGCCCAGAGTAGCTGGGGCAACACAGATGGGTGGCATATAAATAATAATAATAACATCATCATCATCATCATTGGAAATAAATTCCAAAAGGTTTTGTTTGTGGTTTCCTGCATGTTTGGTTTTGGGGGGAAGATCTCTTACAGCTTCAAGAGGCACAAATCCTGCAACTGCACTGAAAAAAAATGGAGGAGGCACTTAACAACATCCCTATACTTACCCATGTCATTTCCTCTTCCTTGCTTCCTATAATTGTCTGAATAGCCTTGTAGGATGTCACACTTACAGGTTGCCATGAGCCCCGCAGTACTGTCAGGATCAAGCTTGAGTTAGCAAGTTCTAGCAGAGGGAGGAGGAAGAAGGTGGTGGCTGAACTGTGGAAACCTGAGTTGGAAGAGAGGGAGGCTTTAATTGTTTTGGAGGGGGAAGAATGGATAACGGTTCTCTCCAATGACCTGCCTTTGGACCTTCCCAGCAGAGGATGGCAAAGGCCTTCCTCCAGGAAGCAGGGGGCAGCATCCACTGAACAAGAGGGTTCATCCAGTTCTGAACTTCTTGCCCTACTCCTGAATCACAACTCCTGGGTCATCAGTCTGTTGCTGAACCTTTACCAATTACTTGAATGAATATGGATCTCTTCCAAGTAAGAGCCCCTGCCTGCATGCATTGGGTGGAAGCCTGGATATTTGGCAGAATGTAGAATGGGCACTCATTTCTTTTGCCTTTCTGGCTTCTTGTATTCCGATTATTAGTATTATTTCCCCCTGTCTGTCCCTTTCAACTTTTCCAGCCACTGAGCTTTTCCAATCACTGCCTTCCCACTTTGTTCCACTCAAGTCCAGATTGATATTTCCTTCCCAGCCATGAAATAGTCTGTTCCTGTCACCCGGTGTTCAGCACGTACGGTCAACATTTCTCGGCAGAAGAGAGCAGTCAGCAGGAGAGCTTGTTTCTCGCTACATAATAAATGCTTTGGCACCAGTTCTGGGCATCCATCTGTTTTGCCAAAGACTCTGCTAAAGACAAGCTTCAGGCTGGAGGAGAAAAGCAAAGACTCCCATAAAATATTGTTTTCATTATGTTGCAGACTCCTCTCCCACCTTCATGCACACACACACACCTGTCAGAAACCAAATATAGAGTGCCATTATTCAATAAGGCATCATGACTGGAGCACCCCCTTATAGGCACAGCAATTGTCAAGGTTGTGCACAGCTAAGAAACTCCAAACACTTCCTTGCAGCCCAATCTATCTTTTCCTTCTCTAAATGGATGGTCATTACAATTGCACTGTAAAAGGTAAAGGTAAAGGGACCCCTGACCGTTAGGTCCAGTCGCAAATGACTCTGGGGTTGTGCGCTCATCTCACTCTATAGGTCAAAGGAGCCGGCGTTTGTCCGCAGACAGTTTTTCCGGGTCATGTGGCCAGCATGACTAAGCTGCTTCTGGCGAAACCAGAGCAGCGCATTGAAACACTGTTTACCTTCCTGCTGGAGCAGTACCTCTTTATCTGCTTGCACTTTGACTTGTACTGCAGTATCATTCAAATGTGTATATATCTTTAGCTTGGATCCAAACTTTGACGTAGTTTATTGAAAGGGCACTATCTAAAAAAGGAGGAGACAGCAATAGCATATTTAAACCAGGCAGACTGTGGAAGAGGGGCTTATGGTAGGGATGGGTTAATCTATCCATTTCACTTTCGCTCAGCTTCTCATTTTTCCAGTTTCCAGTTCTCCACATTTCTGCATCAGTCTGCAATTTTTTAATTAAAAAAAGCCGTCGTGAGAATTTGCCAGCATTTTAGTGTACATTTTTGATACTCGTGACATATTTTATGGTGTTTCCCTTATCTCATGGGTTTTCCCCAGAATATAATGAATTTGTGGCATGTTAATTTCATTAGTGCATGTGTTTTTTATGCACACTTACTTCTAATATACACAATTTTGTTCCCATCATTTGGAAGAATGACATTTGGAGAAGTGTGAATTTTGAAGTGTAGCTGTGTTTCAGTTTGGCATTTGGAAAACTATAGGTTCCCTATTCCTGTTATAGAGTGGACTTACAGCTGCTACTGCACACACACACCAGCTACTTTTAAGTACAAAAAACACAGGGGCTCAAGGATATGCACAGATTTGCCACTTAAATTTGAGATCTGAAAACTACCAGATGTCAACAAACCTTCAGCATTTGGGACTAAATCGAGAAGTATATTTTATTTATACATAGGGGAATCTATAATAATAGGCCATGCTGCACTAATGTAGCCTGCAGCAGTGAACTGTGCAATTTTGATTCAAATTAAGTCAGTGCCTCTCAAATCAATATCACTCACTCATATTTCTATCAACAGCTGACACATTCATTGAGAAAATGGTTTTTTATGCATCCAAGGAAATTGTACTTCAAGCTTCTTTAGATGGCGCACACTTGATGAATGGAGTCTGCACTTCCATTATGTGGGAGAACATTTGATTTCTTCAGTGTTGGCATTGTGGCATCTTGTTATCTTACATCCCCCATTATCAGTCCATTCATTTCAAGCTTATTCTTTCTACATCACCTTTCTCACCCTTTGTAACAGATGTACTGTACTATGTACTCTGACTGAAACAGATAATAACAACTCAACTGTCTCCCTTGAGTCAAAGTCTCTGTGTGTGTGTGTGTTTCAAAGAAAAGATGGCTTGGCTGATGATAAGTATAAGCAAAAATAACTACTAGACAATATAATAATATAAGGATCTGAAATGGGAAGACTGACAAGGGAAAAGGTCACATATCTCTTTTGGTTATAGCTTGAAGAAAGTTGAGAGAAACTTTCGTAAAGGTTTTCAGCTCCCTCTTTTCTTCCTTCATTACCAACTCTGGTTTCTTCACTTGTTCTTAGAGAAGGCAGGTGAGCCTGGTAACATGTAATATGACGTCATAATAAAGTACAGACATAAGAATTCTAATGCTATGGCAGAGGAAAATGTTTCCCTGTACTCTTTCTTCACACCATGCATAATAGTATATGCCGCTTGCCTTTTCTTTAAACTAAAGAAAGCCCCAAATGTTGTAACCTTTGCCCATAAGGGAATTGCTTCAAGCACTTGATGAGTTCATTTTTCATTTTCTGAGATAGTGGAGTTTGAGACCATTGAGAAAAGCAAGCAAGTGGGCATCAGCAGCACTGGCAAGGAAGAGGTGGTAGTGAGCACACTCATGGAGGGGGGTATACCGAGAAGAGCCTCAAATGCATCAACATCTACCAAGGATCACATAGAATCAAAGAATCATAGAGTTGGAAGAGACCACAAGGGCCATCGAGTCCAACCCCCTGCCAAGCAGGAAACACCATCAGAGCACTCCTGACATATGGTTGTCAAGCCTCTGCTTAAAGACCTCCAAAGAAGGAGACTCCACCACACTCCTTGGCAGCAAATTCCACTGTCAAACAGCTCTTACTGTCAGGAAGTTCTTCCTAATGTTTAGGTGGAATCTTCTTTCTTGTAGTTTGGAGCCATTGCTCCGTGTCCGCTTCTCTGGAGCAGCAGAAAACAACCTTTCTCCCTCCTCTATCTGACATCCTTTTATATATTTGAACATGGCTATCATATCACCCCTTAACCTCCTCTTCTCCAGGCTAAACATGCCCAGCTCCCTTAGCTGTTCCTCATAAGGCATAGTTTCCAGGCCTTTGACCATTTTGGTTGCCCTCCTCTGGACACATTCCAGTTTGTCAGTGTCCTTCTTGAACTGTGGTGCCCAGAACTGGACACAGTACTCCAGGTGAGGTCTGACCAGAGCAGAATACAGTGGCACTATTACTTCCCTTGATCTAGATGCTATACTCCTATTGATGCAGCCCAGAATTGCATTGGCTTTTTTAGCTGCCGTGTCACACTGTTGGCTCATGTCAACAGGTTTACAGAATCATAGAACTGGAACAGATGTTGGAGGTCAGCTTCCAATCATCTACTCAGCACAGGAAACTTGCACCTAGAGCATCCCTGACAGGTGATCCTCTGGCCTCTGTTTAAATGCCTCCAGTGAATGAGGGTCCCATCAGCTTCCTCCAGGGCAGTCTGTTCCACTATTGAACAAATGCTACCATTGGGAAGTTCTCTGACATTTAGCTGCAATTTGCTTCCCTGTGATTTCCGCCCACAGATTCCAGAGAGCAAGTTAACTCCATCTTCTGCCTTCGTATGGTATTTTATATGAAGACAGCTATCGTATCTCCCTCCCATTAATACCTCAAAAAGGCTAGCGTTTCTCAGGGAAATCTGTTTACACACTCTTCTGCAAGTGTCCAATAGTAATGCAGTTTGGAGAAATCAAGGTCTGATTATGAACATGCAAATTAGCCCAATAAAAGATCCCTACAACTCTCATGAGGGCTTCAAAATTACAGATTTCTGCAAGAAATGTTAATTACATTTTTAAAAAATAAAAATAAAAAGCAGCTTTTAAGTCCTGGCTTTTCAAAAAGCCCAAAAAGGCTATGTTTCCCAAACAATTAATTAATGGGGGCTATTAAACCACATTCTATTACTTTGAATGGACTGCACTAGGACGGTCACCTAACTCGGAAGAAGCAGAGAACACACAGATCTCTTTCAGAAAATAGATGGTCTGCAAAATGAACTGCAAAGTGCATAAAAGCAAAATAGCAGGAACGTTTGGGTTATCTGCACTTATTTCCTTTGCTGCAACCATAAACACAATACAGCAAAGTAAAACTGTGGTAGAAGCAATGGACACAAGAACCTCTTTAAGCTACCAAGCCATTTGCTTAACTTTGAATATAGATCAGTCGGGAGCACCCAGATACAATACATATAAATGAACAACCCACACAACTGTTTATTGTTTTTCTCTTGTCATTAGACATGGGAATGTCTTATTAGACGGCTTGAGGCCCAGGTATTTAAAGGACTGCCTCCCCCATGCTCCTGACATTGGCAAGGGAGGCACTGTTTGGTGTTTCTGTGGCCAGTGAATGAGTGACATGAGGTAGGTCATTCTCTGTGGTAGCACCCCTTTTGCAGGGAAATTCACCTGCCCCTCCCACTGGCATCAGTTGAAGTCACATTTATTTACTCATGTCTATGGTACATAAATGTAAGTGCTTCTTTTGTCAATAAAGCCTTAACTATCATATATGTTCCTTCCTTAGCTGGGGTGGGTCAGGATAAACTTTACAATATTTAGCTTGTAGCACTGGTATATGTATCAAACTGATTAGGTCACTGATGCCTCTTTCCTTTCCCTCTCTTTTTTTACTTATCTTTTTACATGCAAGTTAGAGAATGACTGAAGGGATGACTTCATTTAGAATGCCAATAATTACATAGGTTTTAAAATACTGGGCTACAACAGGGAAGGACCCTTGGTTGGTGTGTTATTTCTCATCACCTTGCAAGAACCAATATAAAGAAATGGCAGAGTTTGCTCCTTTCTCTACTGCAAAGTCTAGTGGCTGCTAGTCATGAAAATAGGTATGAGAGGAGAGTACGAATTGATGTGGTCTCCTGAAGTGGGGAAAAACAATGCCACTCCTCAAACGCAGATCCTAAAGGACAAGGGAGGTCTAAACCCAGTTGAAAGCTTGTAGGCTCCCCAAATACAGTCTACCACCTCACCTCTTTAGGTTTCAGATGATACCATCCCCCACCTGCACCAGCTAAATGCTCCGAGAGGAGAAGGCAGGCAGCCAAACAGATGGTGAGACAAACAAGAGGTGTGGAGCATTGTTATATAAGATGCACACAGACTGAAATCGATGTCATCCTGGAATGTAACATTGCCTTTTGAGCCTCCAACATTTTCCTCCTCCTGTCCCCCCCACCCCCACCTTCCTTTGGTATTTAAAACAGACTATATGGCCAGCAATTCATTTATATTTCCTATATAATTAGTCACTGGCAAGTAAAACAAATTAGGTGCTTGATAAACACACACAATTATATTTTCAAAGCATTTGTATTTATGCATGGAAGATGGGACGGTTTTATGAATGTGTAATCAGGGATGTAAAATTGGAAAGAAAACAAAATTGAGCACAGCTAATTTGGTAGGGGAGGCAAATTAACGCTATGCCATGGGCTTTGCATGTGCATTGCCCTGATAAACTTCTTCCTGGCAAAGGTTCCTTCTATGCCAAGGATGGTAATCCTTCTTCTGTGCCTGTCCTCTTTTATTACTCCTTTGAGGAAATGTTGTTTATAAAATAAAGATCTGCACAAGCTCAGATAAGAGAGTGCCCGTTTCCCACCCGCACCCCCCATCTAACCCATTAATAGCGAACAAGCTGGAACAGGCCAACACACTTCTTTTCTCTTTGGTGTACACACACACACACGGCAAGGTACCAGCAGGCTCTGCACTTGAGCAATTGCAGCAGATGTGCCCCATGAATAGGTTGAAAGGGAAAGTTCACAGATCCTGAAATAGCAGGACAGAAAAGGTGGAGCTGGGAGGTCTCCTTCCCTAGCAGGAGCAATAATGGGAAGAGTTGCGAGTGTGCCAGTAATGAAGAAGGCAGATGCAAGATGCACAAGAGAATGAATGAGAAGCAATGGGAAGCTTAAAGCAAAAGGAAGTGGGCAAAGAAAGCTGGTAGATGCTGGCATCAGGGAAACCAGGAACAGACAGGAGTATAGAAAAGGAGAAGCCAACAGTGGGACAAAAGGAAGTGCAGTAGCCAAGACAAAGGAAAGGCAATCTGGCTCAAAAAGCAAAAAGAATAAATAGAAATCATTTAAAACAGTTCCAAAGAGTCACTCGATCAAGAGATACACAAAACTCAGAAGTTCATCTGTTTATCATTTGTGGGGGCATTAAAACCTGGTGTTGTTTTGCAATTTATTCTATTTATCTAGCAGCTCAAAATGGAGACGAGTGGAGGGATTATGGAAGGTTGAGAGAACAGAGTTTATTTGAAAAGTAGTACAATCTTGCACTGATCTTTAGGGATCAAATGAGTTTTAAATTTACACTGAAGCAGAGAGACACAATGGAAAGGGTCATTGGTTAGTTCTCAGTGGCAAATGGGCATTTGGACTGTACCACTTTAGACCATTTGGTGCTGATTCACATTTTGCAATGCAGTTCTTCAGCTACACAGTGTATACAACAATACATATACTGGGGCAAAGTGTGCATACAATCCACATATAATGTCCTATGTGAATGTCTGGAAGCAGTTGGAGGATGGATGGGGTTAACAGATTGAGGCTGAATCCTGACCAAATTACTACTTCCAGGGGACAGAGGGTGGAGGACTCCCTGGTCCCGAATAGAGTAACGGGCACCTGAAGGACTAGGTGCGCAGCCTGGGAATCATTTTGGACTCAATGCTGTCCATGGAGGCACAGGTTAATTGTGTGTCCAGGGCGGCTGTCTATCATCTCTATTTGGTACGCCGGCTGAGACCCTACCTGCCTGTGCACAGTCTTGCTAGAATGTTACATGTTCTGGTTATCTCCCGCTTGGACTACTGCAATGCGCTCTACGTGGGGCTACCTCCGAAGGTGACTCAGAAACTACAACTAACCCAGAATGTGGCAGCTAGACTGGTGACTGGGAGTGACTGACGGGACCATATAACACTGGTCTTAAAAGCTCTAAATTGGCTCCCAGTATGTTTCCGAGCACAATTCAAAGTGCTGGTGCTGACCTTTAAAGCCATAAATGGCCTCAGCCCTGTATACTCTCCACCCCCATCATTCAGCCCAAACACTGAGGTCCAACTCTAAACACAAATTTAAGGCCATAAAAAGCCCTGCTAGATCATGCCAAATGCCTCTCTAGCCCACCATTCTGTTCTCACTGTGGCCTACCAGATGGCCATGAGATGCCTATAACCAGGACCTCAGCCAAACAAAATTTTACCCCATTGCGAATCCCAGTAACTGGTATTCAGAGTCACACTGCCTCCAACAGTGAAGACGGAACACAGCCATCGTGGCTTGTAGCCACTGGTAGTATTGTCCCTCATGAAATGTTCCATTTCCAGGGCATTTGGGTTTATTTAATCTGCAAGGCTGAGCCCATTTTCCTTATTTTTCTCACCAAAGATATTTCACGCTGAGAGAATTTTAAGCAGATTTATCTGCTAAAGCCTCTAACTAGAAAACTGTGGGGGGAAATGAGATGCTTATCCTAATAGCATAGGTGTGCTGCGAACAGATCTGGTGTCTAAAAAATCTGGCATCGCTAGGCAATGAACGTCTGTTAGCTGCTAAGGACAATCAGAAATACCCTTGACTTTTAATGAAGGCCTTAATAGCATCCAGCCTCATGCTGTTGCTGCTCAACTTTCAACTCCCAATTTTCACATTTCTTGATTAATTAAATCATCGCTTTGAAGCGGCAGGCATCCTACACAGTGACAACTACAGTAAGGGTTCCTCTTCACTTTTAGGACTCCACATCTCAAAGCCTCTGCCTTTGGGTTTATTACATCCTTTGACTCTAAGGGTCTTTGATATCTTCCATTTCAAAAAACAAAGGGCAGGCCAACTAAATTGTCTTTTTTTATTCTCTTCCTGAAAAATGCAGCTGGGGCAGTGGCAAAACTCATTGCCTGGGGTGCCTTCAGTGAAATGCTTTTGAGTCTTGCAGAAATCTGTTTCAGGGGAACTCAAAGGGTCAATGACTCAAAAAAAAAAAAAAAAGCAGCAAGGAATTGGTGTGCCCTGTGAAATAAATGTTGGAGTCAGTGTATCAGAGCCTAAGTTGAGTCCTTGGACCAAAGAACCATCTAGTCCAGCATCATGCTCCTACAGTGGCCAATATGAAGCCTCTGAGAAGACTGCCAGCAGGATCTGCCTTCAACAGAACTTTTACCAATTTATCAGCAAATGGGGAAATAGGCTCATTGTCAGAGGGATCATCAACGTATTTTCTATCAATTAGTGCTTTGTGTACTAATTGATAGAAAGCACTAATTGATAGAAAATACGTTGATAATCCCTCTGACAATCAGTGGAATTGTCAGTGGAATGGTATTCTAAGGGTTGTTTTCACATATTACCCACCAAGAGACTCTGTCTACCAGAAAGAGGATACCCAATAGTAAGTTTCAGTCAAAAATTGCACTCTGGTAATTGCATATGTCTGGACAAGAAAGCTCTGAAAGCCTGAATTGGATGGTTCTCACCCACCCCCAGAAGTGTCCTGAGCACACCCAGCCCAAGGAGGACAAATGGGCAGTAGTTTAATTCTTTATTGACAAAACATGGATCTAACAGTAGTTCCTAAGGTGCACTGAAAACACACACACACACACACACACACACACTGATTAAGTTATCTTGCATCCTCTCCCCAGGCTTCTGTTCTAAGATGGACTGTTGGAGAAATGGTGTGACCACTCCCCACCCACCCAAGTTAAGTACCCTTGTCTGATGGGGCATGTACACAAAACCTGTCACTTCCTCTTCAAGTCACTTCCTCCTGCTCCTGGGGGACAGGGGGGAGGGGATGGAGGGGATTCTACTGCCCCTCCACTCCTAGCACATCCTGCCCTTCCTCCAGCCCTGGCTCCTGCCTCGCTACTCCCTTCACTTGGATCACCCTCTGGCTCCACTGCCTTCACCAGACACTCCTTGGAGACCTGCCACTCCTTGACAAGAAAAGGAAAGATAGTTCCCGCAGCCTAGAACTAGGGATGGGGGCAAGAGTGTCATAATCCCCTCTCCATACTCTGATACAGACCAGAAGTGGGAGGCACTTGAAGAAGAGGATTCTGAAGGGGAGTAAAGAGGGAATGAGACAATGAAGCAGAGCTCCTCTCTACCTCCAGATGCACCCAAATCTACTGGCAAGATGGCAATTCTCAAGGCTGCCTCTTTTCCACCCATAAAGCAGCAGGGGCTTTTAGAGATCATGGAGGTTGTTTCCCCACCAGAGAGTGAAGAGGGCTCAGGGGAAACACCTGTTGGGACAGAGGGTTCAGAGCAGGAGGAGGCCTCATAGATGTCTCCAAGGGAAACGCACCACATCAAGTGAAAATAGGAAACTTATTCTGCAGGAAGGTACCCACCTTCAGATCAGTAACTTCTAGAGTGCCAGGGAGTCTCTGCCTCTGCTTAAAAGCTTGGCAGTTTGGTGGGGTAACTCACTGGAATATCTTCATTACCTTCATGCAATCCTGGGACCCTTGTTACTGATCTTGGACACCTGAGCCTTGGGCAGGACTTATTATTGCCATCACTTTGACCACCTGAATGAACTCTTTCTGTGACACTGAGTGAACACCTCTAGTCTGCTTTAATAGGCCTTCACTTCCTTTTGTACTAGAAAGAGCACCTGCTGACATTTTTCAGCGGGAAGCAGGACAAAGCACCATGCTCCACACTAGGCCGTGCTCCATGCACATGCCCTCTTCTCCTCAGTAAATGCCTGTGACCACCCGCATCCACTCGCTGGCCATTACTGACAAAGGGTGGATATTCCAGGTTAGCCATTGTAAAGGACACTGACAGCATTTTCCTGGCAACATGAGGCTTTCTTTACCAAGCTCTGCTCCTGAGAGCAGTGCCTGACTTGCTTCCAGGTAAGAACAAAAGAAGGGCTCTGCTTGATCAAATGAAAGTACAGCAGTGGGTCTTCTACACTGGCTTAAAGAGATGTATCTGGAAAAGCCCAAAAGCAGGGCATGGTCATAACCTTCTACTACTGTGGTTCCCCAACAGCTGGTCTTCAGTGGCATACTCCCTACGAATCTGGAGGTTGTAATGAGCCAGGTACCAGGTGCCATGGGATAAAGCTCATAGTCAGAAGAACTAAAGAAGAAGCCTGGGGACAGGATGAAGCCAGGACTGAAAGAAAACCAAAGGAGACAGGAATGTGCCTGAACTCCTGAGCTTGTTGCTCAGGTAAGCTTTAACTAGAACAGGAAGCCCTCTTATAGAACTTTCTGTTCCTCCTATCCAGGGAAAGCCAATGACCAGCCTGGATGGCAGGGGCAGTTCAAAGTCTGAGGACATGCCTCAACACACAGTTCAGTGGCTCACTATACTGTTCCTTGCAGCGCTATGTCATGATTGTGGCATCCTTCAGAGGAAACTTTAGAGAGCGATGGCATGAAAGAGCTCTGCTACCACCACCCATCGTCAGAAATGTGGGTGGCGGCAAAGAATGTGAAGAAAGAAAATGGGGATACAGAGTTTTGTCAGTTCCCACCCCACCCCAGGTTTGGCTGAAATGCTCCTCTGAGAACTTCCAGCCCAGCATTAGTTTGCACAATCACAGTTTCCCAAAACAGCAAACTGCAAGCTTCTGCCACCTTCATCCTGGGCAAAAGGGGAAGGGATGGGACCCATGAACCTGTGGCTGTTTGTGCTCATGGCAACTCATTTGTTTGCCATTCCATCTGAATACCATTACTGTGTGTAAAAGAAAAAGGAAGAAGCCCTGATCCAAGGCACTGATGTGCAATAAAAATAAAGTGTTTATGTGTTCTTTCAACCTCCTCCTGTCCTCCTGAAACTCTCTGTATCAAAGAAACTCAGATTATTTACCAGGAAAAACATCACTCTTCAGTCTTAAGAGCTATAAACTTGCCTTTAAAATTAGGGCTGAAATTATCAGGTAACTGATTTGTTTGCCTAATGCCATACCTGGAATCTTGCGCGCGCGCACACACACACACACACACACACACATATCCCCCAAGCCCTGCTTCTCAGAGCTGCTACCATGCAGGATGATGAAGGTTTATTTGCAATGCAATTAGGAAGTCTTTAAATACTGTTTGGTGGAACAGGGAGATCCGCTGTAGCAATATTTGAGCTGGGCTGGTGAGTCATCCCCCATTTTAACTTCATAAAAAAAACCTCAGGACTGCAAAGTGGGAGGCACCAGCCTCTTTGGAAATGCAGTCACATAGTGACAGTCCTCATTGAAAGTGCAGTCACATGCCATTATGCTACTTTTATCCAATATGAGAGCCACTTATTCTTAGCCAGCCTCACACTGTAGGGAAAATGGAATCTGGCGTGGAGCTACTGCCTCTGATGCCGACTCAGGCACATGACTCCCCTAACCCCCACTCCTTTCTTCTTCTCGCCCCCCCCCCATAAATAAATAAGTAAATAAAGCCACTCTGGGAAAGCAGGTTATTGTATCAGGCTGCAAAGAAGCAGCACAGCATTCCTCTTGCATAACCAACTCGTTTCAACAGGGGCTAAGACAGGCAGCATTCTGGAGCGTTTGTTCTCAGGCTTCCAGGATAATCTTATGCCTTTACTCCAAAGACTTGCTGTGCTCAATGCAGCTTTATCTCAGGCAAGCATGCATTGGGTTGCAGCCCTACCATAACTCCCACACACAAACACACACCAATGCTGATATCTCAAAAGCAGGGTCCTTAAAAACATAGGAACATTGATCTTATACCAAAACACTGGTCTTACACAAAATCGGGTCCATTGCTCCATGTAGTCCAGTATCGTCTACACAGATAAGCAGCAGCTCTCCAGGCTTTCAGATAGGTGGCTCTGCCAGCCCAGACTGGAAATGTTATGGGGTGAACTGGTGGTCTTCTGTTTGCAAAACAGATGCTCTACCACTGAGCCCTTCCCAATTTATTGTAGCTTTTGCAAAAATTCAGTGAATGCTAAACTTTTTTTTTTTTAATGCCCCTATTATTTATCATGAGCAGCTCCTGTTTTCTGTTTCCCTTCTCTGATAAATTTTGGATTTGGGGAATTAACTTTCTAAAATATCCCCCAGGTGTTTCCTCACCACCACCAAGACATCTTGCCCTCACCCTTCCATGTACTAGCTGTCAGTGGACAGGATAGCATCTTCCACTACATCCAAGGGCAGCAGACTAGCTTAAGGGATGCTGGGCAATCCCTATGGCACACAGTGCTATCTTCCAGCATCCTGGCATCACCTCCTACTTCCCAATAAAAGGTAAAGGACTCTTGGACGGTTAAGTCCAGTCAAAGGCAATTATGGGGTTGCGGTGCTCATCTCGCTTCAGGCCAAGGGAACCAGTGTTTGTCCACAGACAACTTTCCAGGTCATGTGGCCAGCATGACTAAACCGCTTCTGGCACAATGGGACACCATGACGGAAACCAGAGCACACAGAAACGCCATTTACCTTCCTGCTGGAGCGGTACCTATTTATCTACTTGCACTGGTGTGCTTTCAAACTGCTAGGTTGGCAGGAGCAGGGACCGAGCAACGGGAGCTCACTCAGTCACATGGATTCAAACTGCCAACCTTCCGATCAGCAAGCCGAAGAGGCTCAGTGGTTTAGACCACAGAACCACCCGCTCCCCTACTTTACCTTTACTTTCCCCACTTTATCTACTTCCCAATATCCACTGGGGTGAACATAAAGCTCTGTTGGCTGCCAAACCAGGCCAGATCCTGATGGAGCCAAGGGTCCCTTGGTATCTCCCAACACCGATGCCACTGCTGCATACCTGGATGGGATTGGGACAGAATGGCAGTGAGGACTGGACACAGGCTGGGGCACTCCTACCCATGTGACCCTACAGGCTTACCAACTCCATGCAGGTAAGCAGTGTCAAGAGGGCAGCTCCACCTTGCCAAACATGCTGCTACTAATTCCCACATACACATTGCAAGTTAGAAGTGCAGAATCATAGAGCTGGAAAGGACCACGTAGGTCAGGCATCCCCAAACTCAGCCCTCCAGATGTTTTGGGACTACAACTCCCATCATCCCTAGCTAACAGGACCAGTGGTCAGGGATGATGGGAATTGTAGTCCCAAAACCTCTGGAGGGCCGAGTTTGGGGATGCCTGACGTAGGAATCTTTTGCCCATTGTGGAGCTTAAACACACGACCCTGAGACTAAGAGTCTCATGCTCCACAAGTTGCAGGAAAAACACTTACAAATGCAGCATTATTATTGGGAATGGAAAGTTTAAAGTGATAGATGTGATTCCTAAAGAGGAAAGACAGACAAAAGAGAAGAAAATGCCTAGAGCAATGTATTTAAGGCAATGCCAGCCAGAATAGTCGTGAAATAGTCTTTCTGTACTTGGAGAATTGCAGTTATCCCGCTAAAAAAAAAAGAGTCACATTTGCTGGACTGGGGGCAGGGGGAGGACTAATGAGGAAAAACACGAGGGTGATGTTTTGTGTATAGTGCCATGCAGATGCCCTGTAAAAATGAGTGAACAACACATGGCTAGTCCACAGTAAACACCCGACGATGAAAGCACCCTGAGCTGAAGGAAATGGAAGATGTTTGAAGGCTTGTTTTCAGCAAAAAAAAGGGGGGGGCTCAGTTCTCTGTATTCATTTTTTAAAGTGTTGTAACAAAAAGTTTGGTCATGGCTAAATGATCAAAATATTTTCCATCAAGCTACAGCATATCACTGGAAATGATTTCAGACAAAGAGAAAACTCTCTGCAATGCCTGAACTGCTGCTCTGTGATCAACAACAAAAGAGGGCGGGGGAATCATATCTCTTGCAATCAAGTACCAGCTGCTTTGCAAGGGAAGATTATGCCTCATTTGCTCATTTACAGTTTGCTTAGTACACACGGCAAAAATATGCTTCTGGAACCAGAGCTGGCCTTTTCAAACTAGGCAGAATGAGGCAGCCACCTCAGGTGGCAGGTGCTGGTGCCAGCAAGCAGAGTGCTGGCAAACAAAGTGATGTGTAGTATGCAGCCTACCCTGCACACTAGAAGTTAGCTTGCTGTGTTCAGGTATGGTTAAGGATGCTGTCTTATCACAAAACAAGATTCAGTCACCACTGCAGTCAGTTTCTGTGTGCGGGATTGGGTGGACGTGCCATTTTGTCCTTTGCCTCAAGCTGCAAGATATCTTGGCCAGTCCTGATTGTGACTCTAAATTTCAGTGTGGTTTTGGTGAGAGTGCCCAACTTCTGCTGGAGAGATCTGGGTTCAGAAACTTGCTTGGAAGTGCCATTGGACCAACCACTGTCTCCTGCCTAGTCTTCCTACCTCACATTGCAGTTGCAACAAAAGCCCCACAGGTGGAATGTCCTGAACTCCTTGGTGGATGGGTAGAATGAAAAAAAAAGTTAGGGTAGACATTTTGGATGGGTAACATTTTAATTTTGAAGAAATCTTTCTGACGGCTATGACAAAACAATGGTGATGACCACCATGCCCAGAAGCCCTGGCTCTGAAGAAGGATCAATCTTTGGCCCTTTTGTGAGAGCCTGGATATAACTGCAAAGCCAAAAGCACTATTGCAGCAGGGAAGATGTTAAAAAAAGTAGTAAGGGGAAGGGGAATGGTGGCACTGCTGCCTCCACAAAGAGAAATATACAGACACAGCCAAGTTCTGGTGGCAATGACTGTGAGAGTCACTGGCTAAATTAGAGGCTGCTGATGTGGTGCCTGTGGGAACAGTGGTGGCCTTGAGGTCTTCTCCTGGTGCCTGTGAAACCTCTTAGCCCCTCGTAGTCGTGAGGTGGGAGGCTGGTTGCTTTCCCCCCTTGAAAAGTACATAGAGCTAAAGAAGGAAGTTGGAAGAGTGTCCCTCTTTCCCTTTTCCTCTTTCAGCCCTGTGGTGTTCAAGACCCAGGTTAAAAATGAGGTATGTGTACATGCAGTTCCCCTCTTTCTGTCTCTTGGGGGAGGTATGCTGCTATGGGGGTGAATGAGTGACCAGAGGGGCAGTGCCCACAGCATTCACTCAAAAATCCACAGGTGCCTAGAGTCCTAAAAGGCTAGTGACCCCTGAGCCAGGCCATGCAGAGGATCCCCTGAGATTGCCCCTGAGATGATGGCAGAAATCAGTGTTTGAATGGTGCAGCAAACCATTTTAAAGTGATGCCTTTCTCTGGAAGTGAGAACATTTGAGATCCACAGATTCCCCCCCCCTTAGTTTCTTAACAGTAACACCAGGATTTTAAAACAAGTTTTTCTTTTACTACCCTGTGCACCAGCTTAACCTTTCTTTGCTCTCCTCTTCTATTTTACAATGCTTATGAACACACATTTCTGTGGCAGCCGTTCTTGCATTGCTCTCACACCATCCTGCCCTTGGCTCACAGCTGAGTCAGCACCATAGGCAAGAGGGAAAGCACATTTCTGTCATTCTGAAGCAGGCCATAGCTCACCTGGTCAGGCTGATTCACCAGAGCAACTGGCAGGAAGGCTGGGGAGTGGGCAGAGAGTGCTGGCAGCCAATGACAGAGAACATTTGTCTTGGAAACAATGGGAAAGTGCCAGGAGGGAAAAATCTGATGGTCAGCAAATTGCATGTTGCTCAAAGCATAAGCTGAAAGGGGTAGTGTGGAAAAGGCTTCATTCTCTTTAAAAGAAAGAGGGAAAGTGATGTTTTCTTTCACAGGTGTGGTAGAACCTGATTTGGCAATCAAAATCAATTGGGTAATTAGCCACAAGAAGATGTCCTTTAAAAACCATCTGGTCCTAGCTACTACCACTATCCTTATTACAGACTGCCCTTCAACAAAAGTTCTCAGAGCAGGGAACTCAACAAAATGCAAAATAAAATCAGCAATAAAATCATAAAGCCACAATATTTTAAGAAGAAGAAGCAGAAGAATTGTCCATAATTCCTCCAACACAGAACAAACATCTTGTTAACCATGCCATAATATCAAAATACAAGAAAGAAGATTCCAACTAAACATTAGGAAGAACTTTCTGACTTTAAGAGCTGTTTGACAGTGGAGATGAAGATGGCGGGCTCTGTTTTTAAACAGGCTGAATGGCTATTTCTCAGGAATTTTTTAGCTGTGATTGCCACACTGCAGGGAGTTGGACTAGATGACTCTTTGGGTCCCTTCGAACTCTACAATTCCATGATTTAATGCCAAATGGAACATATGTGTTTTCAATAGGTTTCAAAAAAACATCAGTAATCCATCATTTGTAGCCATAACCAAAGAGGTCCATCTGAAAAAGAAATGCCACTTGTCTTCATACAACCAAGATGAGGACTGAAAGCTTGTGTGCCAATGCAGCAGTACTCTTAAAGGTAGACTGTGCATTCCTACACATGTAGGAATAATTGGGTGCACTCTTCCCGCCTTGGATCAAATCTATGCATCCAGGTGTCATAAGAAAGCTTCAGAGATAGCGCAGTATAGTGCGCACCCCGGAAATTATCTCTTTCAGCTTCTGCCTTCTGGAAGAAGATACAGGGTTATAAAGACTAGGACTAGCCTCCTGAGAAACAGTTTCTATCCAAATGTGATTTTGGTTTTAAACGCAGTATAAAGTAGTCTCTATGGAAGTATATTGTATTTAATTATGGGGTATCAGAGTTTTTAGGGGGCTAACCAGGCTGGGATAGCTGGGATAGCAGGCTTGTTGGTTTTTGAATGTCTGGTGTAGATTTTTTCAATTTCGTTGTTCTGTATGGGACAATGACAATAAAGATTATCGTATCGTATCATATCTCAGTCCACTTAGTTCAACAGAATTTCCTCTTTACTGTGAGGTGAGGGTTGCAGCCTTAATTTTAATTGAGAAAATCAGGATTAAGGCTAATCTCTATTGTTATGTACTGAAGTTCTTACCCTGGGCCAGCAGGGGGATACTGTAGATAGTTATGCAAATGAAGGATCGAAAGTGACGTTCAGTGATTGGATAGTTTGTATGCAAATGAAGGATAGAAAGTGACGTTCAGTGATTGGCTAGTTACAGAAAATGGTTACTGTTGCATTCTAGTGGAGCTCTATATAAGCAGGCTGACTGAGCTCCTCAGCTCAGTTCTGTTCCAGCTTACAAATAAAGAGCTGCTTTGGAAGAATCGCTGTGTTGTCTGATATGTTCACCCACAACTTAACATCTATGCTGTTCAATATAAAGCAGTGCTGGAAACCAGTGTGTGGAATGCTCATATTTAATTTCTCCTGCAGCATCTTCTACAGCCTCACACAGATTTTTTGCAGAGAATCACCCTTTCCTCAAAATAGTTTATATAGTATGGTATAGAGAAAGCCAGTGTGGCATTGTGATTAGGCTAGAACTGGGATTCAAATCCCCTACTCAGCCATGAAACTCACCAGATGACCTTGGATCGGTCACAGTTTTTCAGCATAACCTTCCTCACAGGGTTGTTGTGAGGATAAAATGGGCAGGAAGAGGACCCTGAGCTCCTTGAAGGAAAAGTGGAATAGAAATGTGACAAATAATCAATCAATAAACAAACAAACAAATGGTTGTTGATTTTCCTCCCCAGTCTTCATTTCTCTGTGTGTTCTGGGAGACCAGGGGAAGAAGAGCTGGTAGCAGCAGGAAGGAGAGATTCCCTGCCTGCCTCCACTCTGACACCCTACTGTTTCTGCCTCTGATTCTGGACTGCTCTCTGCCCCAGCCTCTTCCGGCTCACTAAACCCTGTTGCCTCTTCAGCTTCCAACACCTCCTCCCAGTCTGCTCCCTCTTCTGCCTCTGACCACTCATCGCCATCTCACCACCAATCTCTGGGCTCTGAGCCTTCTTCCTTTGAGGGTTCCCTTGGGGGTTCCCCAGCTGGTGCCCCCACCACTCCTCTGCACCCAGCCAGTCCATGACAGGTAGCCAGTGCAGCTGTTTTAACAATGGTATTCTCAACCAGAAGCTCCCATCAGCAATCTGGCTGCAGCATTCTGCACCAGTTTCTACTTCTGTGGAACTGAAAACCACTGATGATATGGGGAGAGAAGACAATCCTGCTCCCCTTCCCAACCTGTCTTTAAATCTGTGAATAGAACCATTCTGCATTAGAGACAAGGATTCATATAGGATGCTTTGTTTTCTCTGTGTTAAAATTACATTTTCAAAGATTTCTTACCCACCCCTCATC